CCCACACCCCCACCCTCTTTCGTTGCACGTGTCGTGTTGTCCAGTCATCAAGTGGTGGAGACTCTTCAGACTTCTGATTCACTGTTTGTCCAGTTATGATCCAGTGACCTTATAATAATCTTAATTTAATTGATTTCATATTTATTCTAATCCTATGGCTCTTCTTCATTCCTTTTTTATGATCAAGTGAGCATATGATTCTTCTTTTCTTTTATTTCCTTACAATTGGAACATATGATTTAATAGCCAATTGTAGAGTGTAATTTATGATTTAGTAGCCACTTAGTATTTTCATTTATTTACATACATTTGGGTAATATGTATTTTGTGTATTAATTTGGTGGTTGTTTTGTGTTTATTTTATTAACAAGCTACACTCTTACATTGTGTTTGAGTAGTATTCTCTTTAAATCTTTGCAACTTTGTTATGGTGCATTTGATAAATGCATGAGGAAAACAAGTGGAAGAGGAGTATTAGAGTAAAAAATTGAATAAAGGACACCGTCCTGCTTTTTTTGGTTCATTTTAACATGGAAATGAAGACAGCAAAAAAATACATCACAACTAAACATAATTGTAAGGCTCCAAAGAAAGGTGAAAATAACTTTTCAGGGTACCTACGCTATTCAAATTGTCACGTTTCCATCAATCGTCAGCTGCATTGGGAGTCCATCAGCGACGGACAGAAATGATCCGTCAGTACTGACCCGGAATGTTACGATTCCAGTGAAGGACAAAAACCCACCTCCGTCAGTGCTTGGTCCATCAGCTTTTCGTCATTCGCAAAACAGTCAGTGACGGTTTGATAGACCTTCCATCAGTACAGAGGGAATGCCCAGCTCTGGTATTTACAAAGTGATCAAGCATTTCTGGTTGGCTGAAGTCATATTAAAGAGCGGTTTGAAACTTACCCAAAATTATTAATGGAGAGCAGGGGTGGCGAACCAGACTAAGAGCCAATTTTTTTTACTGTGTTTACTGCAAAGAGCCACATCGTGTCCATGCACGAGCGCGCACACACACACACACACACGAGCTGCAGTAGTTACTTACTACTTGGATCAGCTTGCTACATATTTGACCGAAGATCGGCTACGCATATGCAGGCACACACAGACACCGAGATGAGCGAGAGCCAGAACTTCACTGAACACGAGTACGAAATCGAAACACACAGACATAACCCCCACCTCCCATTTCCTCCCCCCAACGCTCGCGGTCGACTTGGGACCAGTCCGCTAGCTCTGGGTCGATTGCGATTGACTATTAGGCACCCCTACCTTTAAAGCTGACTAGCTTAGCGCTAAGAACTGTTGTTTGCGCATGAGTGGTGATTCAGTTGTCATCTGGTTGCCCTGTATGTCAATCCGGTGATTCAGTTTTCATCTCATTGGTTGCCCTGTATGTCAATCAAGTAACGGGATTGACGATAGGCTGACATAGTTAGTTCTTATGTATTTAGCACAGTTGTTTGAATGGCAACGCCACCGCCGAGGCATTTTCGACGCTTGTCCCGTGAAAGCGAACGACCATCCACGCCCACACTCACACCGAGGGACAATTTAGAGTGTTCAATCAGCCTGCCATGCATGTTTTTGGAATGTGGGAGGAAACTGGAGTACCCGTAGAAAACCTACATAGGGAGGCCGGAGCTGGAATCGAACCCCGCACATCTGCAATATGAGGTCGACGCGCTAACTAACCACTAGACCACCGGGCAGCCCGTACTTTATAATTAATTCAAATTGGTTTTGACATGATGATATATTGATGATAGATGTAGTTGGGAGAATTTAATCTGTCATCAGAACTGTTTATCTGCACACCCCCTCCTACAGTATTAGGACAGTGAGTTCAGGTCCTTTATTTTGGCTGCAGAGTGAAAACATTGGGGATTGACATTTACAGATGAACAGAAACAGTTCCACTTCTATGGTGGGTCCATCCCTTGACTTAATTATTCCTCCATTTTACTTTTTCAGCTCTTGTGCTTAGTTGGCGAGGCCTTTGATGACTACAGCGATGAAGTTTGTGGAGCTGTGGTGAACATTCGCGCAAAAGGAGATAAAATCGCTGTCTGGACATCAGACTATGAAAACCGAGCTGCTGTAACACACATAGGGTGAGGGATTTCCTTTGAGTCAGCTAAAGTGTTTGTACAATTTTTTGTTTTTAATAATTACATACCAGATGTCACCCTCTTAATCCGTTTTTTTTTTCCATGCCAACAGGAGAGTTTACAAGGAGTGCTTGGGGATCCCCTCGAAGATGTCTATTGGTTACCAATGTCACTTTGACACAGCAACCAAAAGTGGCTCCACCACCAAGAACAAATTTGTCGTTTAAGAAGCACCTATTGTGCTCCCGTTTCTAGTTGTCATATTTGTTGTCGGTGCATATGTTTACTTTGCTGCAAAGACTGCGGAGTGCAATCCAATACTACAAGCCAAATGTTTCTATAGCCTGCCCTCAACTTAGACCACATAAATATATGAATGTGGCTCTTCCAAAAACACTAAACTAACACTTGGATAAAAATATTAAATGAACCTCATTATGAGCTATGATATTTGAAATGTTGACATGGAGATTTTAAGTTAACATTTGGGATGCAATATGGAAGTAACTTCATATTTGGATGAAAACGAACAGGATTTTAATTGCAATTGTTTAGCAAAATAGCAACTAATATGGAAAAAAAAGAAAGAAGTTCCTCTCCATGTCGGGAGATTGCAGGCCATGTAAACGTATCCAATGATTTGTTTTGCTAGAGGTTGCTATTTAGAGTGCTTCATGGATCCTCGAAGTGAAAATATACCGGTATATCTTTTTTTTTTTTTAATTGCTGTCAATCCTGAAATGCAACAATGTATATTTTTCTGCCATTTTTTACAGCACGAGTGTTTTGCTGTAATTGTGTAAGAAATTAAACCCTTTAATTTATTTTAGTCTGCATTTGATCAATTGGTAGGACAGCTTTATGCTTGTTTTTTTGCCCTTCCTGTTGCATGTAATCAATTCTTTTAGTCTATATATATCATGACTGATATTCTTTTGAGTGTTATATAATTAAACCAGGAATTTTGCAATTGTTTGCAATAAAATATTGTTTTTCTTTGCAAATCCACACATTTTTTTGACCTCGAAATTCTCATTGTCTCGCAGATGTTAGGGTTTGGGTGTGACCCCAATAGCACGACAACAGGCAGGTATTGTTGAAGCCAACACTTGGCGTAGTTTATTCGAAGAGTCTTCGCAAAGTCACTCAGGGGGAAGCACGAGGAGTCCACAAGGAATTGTCCACACAAGGAACAAGCAGCTGTAGGAAATGGCAACAAAGTCCACTGGCGTGGTGACGGCACGAACTTGCACTGAGGAATGGTCTGTGAGTCAATATGTACCAGTCCAAACGAGCAGATAGGCAACAGGTGGGTGATGAGCTGACGAGTCTCAGGTGTGAGGTGCAGAGCACCCTGGCTGAGGAGGCTGCCTGGGTGGCCCCTCCCTAACAGCAGACAATTAAATATGCTGACGTTGATTCTCATACACTAAAAGGCTCCAACCAGATGAGCATTAGACATTAGCGTGAAATCCGCCGGCCCCCCTGACCATCACCCCACAATCCCTTAAAATGTCAGTGTAAATACAACATGGAAAGAAAAAGGTTACGTTGAAGAACATAGCTTCACGTTTTGATTCATTTCGATGTCAGTTGCTTTAAAATGTCATTTGAATAAGACAAATGTCATCACAAGATGCAGGACTATTTGAGCCAGCAGGCACACTCAATACTGGTGGATGTTGCTTGATGGTGTTGAAGCACTAAATGGCTGTCGGACGTCTGATGAGGTCCTTGTTTAAGTGGCGCGATTGCAGTAGCAACCTTTAAAGGTCAGTTGATGTCCACATAGGATTCCTTTTAAGCAAATCCTCGCAGCATGATAAGCAATCGACTAATCAGCAGTGAAACATCATTTGAATTTTGAAACAACACAGAACATGTCTCCAAATGTTTCGTATTGCCCATTTACAGGGTTCTCCAGTTCTTTACGTTAATATTTAAAATCAATTACTTTCAGTGACAGCTCTCTTGACACATACACTGAAATGATTCAATGGATATCAAAGTGCACGGCCATGTTCAAATGGTAGTTTTTTTTTTTAAATGATTATGTATACACCCAGATATATAATTTTACCATTTTTTTCACCATCAAGTGTGACCTGTAGCCTGTACACCATATTTGGCTAAATTAAAATTAAATGAGATACGTTAGAGGGTTGTAAACATAAGATGTGGTTGCACCCCCGCTTTTTTTAACTAAAGATGTGATTTTGTTTTCTTTTGCACACATGGACAAAATTGAAAGAACCCTGCTCTTAATGAAAAAAACACCAACAGTGGTCACAGAACTACCGGGAACTTGAATCTGACAAAAGTAATATATGAAGATTAACTCACGAGAAAAATATACAGTGATCCCTCACTACTTCGCGGTTCACTTTTCGCGGTTTCAGTGCATCTCGGATTTTCCAAAAGCATTCATCACAAAAAAAAAAATTAAATAAAAATAGCGAAAATGCCACAACATGTCCTCAAAAGGTCCGCGAGAGGCAGCGAAAGTCAGCAAAACAACAGCGAGTCATATAGAGCAGCATATATGGGTATATTAGTACATGTATATGTTTACTGTATTTTGTTATTTATTCACTAACCTAACCTAATTTATACATCTTATACGTGTGTGTGTACACACACACACACACACACACACACACACACACATATATATATATATACTGTATTAGTATATAGCATTAAGTAATGTTAATTACTACAAACATGTACTTCTACATGCATGTATACCATTAAATTTGGCCTTATAAATATTATATACAGTATACTCATACACATCTCAACTCAACTCAACTGTATTTATATAGCACTTTCAAACAGCCATCGCTGCATACAAAGTGCTGTACATGGAGCAATTCAGCATATACAACAAACAGTAAAGCAAATCGGTAATAAAGACGGTACAAAGCACCGAACAACAAGACCAAGAACAAATCTAAGTCATGCTGAGTCAAATGCCAAAGAATACAAGTGAGTTTTGAGGCGGGTTTTGAAGATGGGCAGCGAGGAGGCTTGCCGAATGTTCAGTGGGAGGTCATTCCAGAGAGAGGGACCAGCAACAGAAAAGGCTCGATCCCCTCTGAGCCTCAGTTTAGTTCTTGATACTTCTAATAATGTCTGGTCCGCAGACCTGAGGCGCCGGGCAAGTGTGTAGGGGCGGATGAGCTCAGAGAGGTAAGGTGGCGCGAGGTCATTTAGAGATTTGAAAACAAATATTTGAAAACATGTACATATACCTGTACGCGGGGGTACCTACTTTGCGGATTTTCCTCTTCCGCGGGTGATCTCAGTCCCAATTAACCGCGATAAGTGAGGGATCACTGCATTGCTTTTGAATCGTATTTCAAACGTATTATTTTAAAACGCAAACTCATGAAACAGGCCTGAATAAAAATGATGGTACTCCGAAACATTGAAAACAACTCATTCAACACGTTCAACTAAAATGTGTCCTCCAATTAGCATCACAGGTGTCATTAAATTTGGAAACAATTTAGTCGCCAGACACCGTTTTTATGGAAAACCTATATTGGAGGTGTAAGGGTGGGTTTTTTTTCTGCTAACAGGAGATTTTATTTGGGGTTTTTTTCACAATTTTGCATTCCATTTACTTATAGTGTACATGGATTTTTACTGTCTGCAGTTGGGCTGCCAAACATTAGTCGTCTAGTCACGATGACATTGACGATCAGAATGATCAACAATGAATTTAATAATTGGAAAAAAAAACATCTTTATACGTTCACTTATTTGGCACTCTGTTATTCTCTCGGAATTGTCTCCATCGTCTCCTGGCTGTACAGTATAGGTTGTCTGTGATGCACACGCGCAGTCGGAGTAATCCGGGTCTTCCGTGATTAAAATAGAAGCATTGTGGGTAATGAAGTGTTATGACTTGGCCCATGTTAGCTAGTCCGAAAGTTCGGGCGCATTTCACCCAAAATCTTACGATACAAACCTCCCGTTCATGGAAGCACGGGCGGTGATAAATGAGCACCTAAAAAGGAAGCACTTTCTGACTGATGTCTGATTTCATTTCTGAAAAAGGGACAGTTGTGTCTGGAAGCCAGCATTAGCACACACAAGTTACCGTGTGCGTGTGCGCGTGCGTGTGTGTGTGTGTGTGTGTGTGTGTGTGTGTGTGTGCGTGCGTGTGTGCGCGCGTG